CCTTTTGTTGTCATGTTGCTCTAGCTAGAACTTCAAGTACAATACTGAAAGGTATGGAGAGAGTGGACAGCCTTGTCTTGTTCCTGATTTTAGTGGAATCGCATTGAGTTTCTGTCCATTTAGTTTGATGTTGGTTGCTGGTTTGCTGTATATAGCTTTTATTATGTTTAGGTATGTTCCTGTTATCCTGGATCTCTCCAAAACCTTTATCTTGGATATTGGATTTTGTCAAGGGCTTTTTCTGCATCTAGTGAGATGATCATGTTATTTTTGTTTCTCATCTTGTTTATACGGTGGATTAAACTGATGGATTTTCATATGTTGAACCTGGGATCAAAACTAATTGATCGTGATGAATGATTGTTTTGATGTGTTCTTGGATCTGATTTGCCCGTATTTTATTGAGTATTTTTGTATCAATGTTCATGAGGGATGTTGGTCTGAAGTTCTCTTTCTTAGTTGTGTCTTTGTGTGGCTTGGGTATCAAGGTTATTGAAGCCTCATAGAGTTTGGCAAAAACCCTTCTGCTTCTGTTGCCTGGAATACTTTTAGAAGAATGGTATAACTGTTCTTTGAATTTCTGGTAGAATTCTGTACTGAGGCCATCTGGACCTTTTTCTTTTTTTTTGGTTGGGAGACTTTTGATGACTGCTTCTATTTCCTTAGGTGTTATAGGACTATTTAAATTGCTTATCTGTTCTTGATTTAATTTTGGCAAGTGATAGCTATCCAGAAAATTGTTCATTTTCTTTAAATTTTCTGATTTTGTACAGATTTTCAAAGTATGACCTGATGATTCTCTGGATTTCCTCAGTGTCCGTTGTTATGTCCCCCTTTTCATTTTTGATTTTGTTAACTTGCATGTTCACATTCTGCCGTTTGGTAAGTTTAGATAAAGGTTTGTCTATCTTGTTGATTTTCTCAAAGAACCAACTCTTCATTGCATTGATCTTTGTATCATTTTCCTAGTTTCTACTTTATTGATTTCAGCCCTTAGTTTGATTATTTCCTGGCATCTACTCCTTCTGGTTGAGTTTGCTTCTTTGTGTTGTAGAGCTTTCAGCTGTGCTGTTAATTCTCTAGTGTAACTATTCTCCAGTTTCTTCATGTGGGCACTTATTACTACGAACTTCCCTCGTAGCACTGCTTTCAAAGTGTCCCATAGGTTTGGGTATGTTGTATCTTCATTCTCATTGAATTCTAGGAAGTCTTTAATTTCTTTTTTTTATTTCTTCTTTGACCCAGGAATGGTGCAGCTGTGCATTATTCAATTTCCATAAGTTTGTAGGGCTTCTGCAATTTGTGTTGTTGAATTCTAATTTTTAACACATGGTGGTCTGATAAGATGCAGGGAGTTATTTCAATTTTTTGTACCTGTTGAGGTTTGATATGTTGCCAAGTATGTGGTTGATTTTTGAGAAGGTTCCATGTGGTGCTGAGAAGAAGGTATATTCTTTTTTTATTTGTACAGAATGTTCTATAGATGTCTGTTAATCCCAATTGGGTCATAACTTCTAATAGCCCCTTTGCTTCTTTGTTAAGTTTCTGTCTGGTGAGAGTGGGGTGTTGAAGTCTCCCACTGTAAGTGTATGGGGCTTTATATGTGATTTGAGTTTTAGTAATGCTTCTTTTACGAATGTGAAGCATATGGGGCTTTATATGTGATTTGAGTTTTAGTAATGCCTCTTTTACGAATGTGGATGCCTTTTTATTTGGGGTATAGATGTTCAGAATTGAAACTTCATCTTGGTGGATTTCTCCTGTGATGAGTATGTAATGACCTCCTTTATCTCTTTTGATTGATTTTATTTTAATGTCTAATTTGTTAGATATTAGGATTGCTACCCCTGCTTGTTTCTTGGGTCCATTTGATTGGAAAATCTTTTCCCAACCTTTAACTCTGAGGTAATGTCTGTCTTTGAGGCTGAGGTGTGTTTCTTGTATGCAGCAGAAGGATGGGTTCCATCTTCAAATCCATTCTGTTAGCCTGTGTCTCTTTATGGATGAGTTAAGACCATTAATATTGAGGGATACTAATGACTATTGATTGCTCTTCTTTGATTTGGAATGGTTGTTGGTGGTAGAATTATATGTGGAATTCCACCCCTTTTTTTTCTTTTGGCTGTTGGTTAGATGGGATTATCTATTTATTGCCTATGTCTTTCTGGTTGTAGTTCACTTCCTTGGGTTGGAGTTTTCCTTTCAGAACTTTCTGTAGGGCTGGGTTAGTGGATATGTATTGTTTGAATCTAGTTTTGTCATGGAATATCTTGTTTTCTCCATCTATAGTGATTGAAAGCCTTGCTGGGTATAGTAGTCTGGGCTGGCATCTGTGGTCTCTTAGTGTTGGTAGACTATCTATCGTGGACCTTCTGGCTTTCAGAGTTTACATAGAGAAGTCAGGTGTAATTCTGATAGGTTTGCCTTTATATGTTACTTGACCTTTTTCCTTAGCTGCTCTTAATATTCTTTCTTTATTCTGCATGATTGTGGTCTTGATTATTATGTGGTGAGGGGACTTTTTTGTGATCCACTCTATTTGGTGTTCTGTAAGCTTCTTGTACCTTCATTGGCATGTCTTTCTTTAGGTCAGGAAAGTTTCCTTCTATGATTTTGTTGAATATATTTGGTATCCCTTTGAGGTGGTTTTCTTTACTTTCTTCTATACCTATTATTCTTAGGTTTGGTCTTTTCATGGTGTCCCATATTTCCTGGATATTTTGTGTTAGGGATTTGTTGGACTTAATATTTTCTTTGGTTGATGAATCAATTTTTCCTAGTGTATCTTCAACACCCGAGATTCTCTCTTCCATCTCTTGTATTCTGTTGGTTATGCTTGCATCTGTAGCACCTGACCGTTTGCCCAGCTTTTCTATTTCCAGCCTTCCTTCAGATTGTGTTATTTTTTATTGTCTCTATTTCAGTTTTCAACCCTTGCACTGTTTGAATTGTTTCTTGCAATTTTTGCTTTGTCTTTTCATCCATTTGTTGCATTTTCTGATTTGTTTTTTCTTCCATTTCTTGCATTTTTTTGGTTTGCTTTTTCTTCCATTTCTTTGAGGGATTTTCCCATATCCTCTTTGAGGGCCTCTATCATTTTCATGAAGTTGTTTTTAAGGTCATTCTCTTCTGCTTCATTTGCATTGGAATGTTGGAGTCTTGCTGGTGTGGAGTGTCTAGAATCTGGTGGTGTCATATTTGTTTTTCTGTTGCTGAGTTTGTTTTTGTATTGTCTCCTTCCCATCCCTTCTTCTAGTGGGTGCAGAAAGAGCCTCTTACTGGCCTGTTGGTTAGGGGACCAGAGTTCCCTTTCAGTGGGTGTATGTCCAATACTCTGGTAGTTCTCCTCTTCCTGGTCCTAGTCCTGGTCCTGTGGATGGAGAAGAAGACCGGGAATCTGGGGTGCGTAGGCTCCCACCAGGAGGGGAGACTCAGTGGCAGTCTCCAGGCACTGGAGCACAGGCCCAGAAACAGACCCTGAATTGCCTGGTCCTGTGGGTGGAGAAGAAGACCAGGAACCTCGGGTTTGTAGGCTCCCACTGGGAGGGAAGGCTCACTGGTGGTCCCCAGGCACTGGCCCAGTGGGTAGAAAAGAAGACCAGGAAACTGGGGTGTGTAGGCTCCCGCCGGGAGGGGAAACTCTGGCAGTCTCTAGGCACTGGAAGCAAAAATAATTTTTAAAAGACAAAATTTTTAAAAAGATGACCAAGATCTTTTAGTTTTTAGGGAAATGTATATGAAACCTACAGTGAGATTCCAGCTCACACTTAAACTAGCTATTGCTAACATGTACACAAACAGAAAACCACAGGCATTGGTGAGGGTGTGGGGCAATGGGCTCTTGGTACACTGCTGCTGTGAATGGAAAGCGATTAAACTTTGGAAAACTCTTCGGCAAGTTTCAAGAAGCTGAAGACCAGCTTCTCATCTGACCCAGAAGTCTCACTCCTAGCGCTGAAAAGAGCCTGCGCTGACATTGTGCATGAATGCTCAAAACAGCAGTAGTCACAAGTTCTAAAAGGAGGAAACAACCTGTGACCATTGCCACAGGAATGGACAAACAAGTGTGCTATATACATATAATGGAATATGATTCTACTATAAAAAGGAATAAATGTTAATACACTGCACAACATAGATGGAACTTGAAAACACTATGCCAGTTGAAATAAGCCAGTCAAAAGACAAATATTTTATAATTCTATTATTGGCAGTCTCTAGCTAAATTTATGAAAATTGATGGTCCAATGTAGGCTACTTCTGGGAGGAAAAAAGGTAGTTACTATGTAATGGGTACAGAGCTTCTGTTTGTGGTGATGAAACTTTCTGGAGACAGGGTGATGGTTCAAAACAGAAATGTACATAATACTACTGAGTCATACCCTTAGTATGGCTGTAATGAGAAACTTAGTGCTAGGTGTGTTGTAGCAACATTTTTTTTCTTTTAAGCTAGAGAAGGGATGAGTGGGTGGAAATAACAGACATGGCAGAACAAAGAAGTGGCAGGGGTAGCCATACTCTTGTGGAAGCATTGCTTCTAAGGCTTCTCTGTTATCTGCACCCTGGCTTCTTATGCTACCCTGCCAGCCTCAGTGGAAAGGCTCTGTCTGTTCATATGGGATGAGACCCCTATGATCAGCTGCCCTGACCTTGACTGAAGACATGAGGAGGGTGCACAGTAGTTACCAAGATGCCAGAGGTCAGGGCTCCTCGGGGCCAGGAGACAGAATTAGTTGTTAGAATACAGGGGTAGCAGACATCAGGGGTCAGTGGCTGTAGTGATGGACTAAAGGCCTTGTCAGATTCAGCCAACACCCTGTCCTTAACCCACACTCTGCTCTTTCACTGTTCCTTGGGCTGGAGGGGACAGTGGCATGGCATTACTTATGGAATTAAGGAATCCCCAACACCAGTGATACCACCAGCATAGGACTATGCATCCCTGGGAACTGTACAAGTTGTAGCTGCCATAGAGTGACAAACATGTGTTTTCTCCTCAGAAACAGACTGAATTTGATCTGGATACTGTGAAGGATCGGCCAGTCTGGGATGCTGTCTGCCTTGTGGAAGGGCCAAACCTGCCTTGCATCATCTTGATGGCCAGCTTCCAGGAGCCCAAGAGAGCCTTTGGAGGCCTCACTGAGCCTAGAACCTGCTGCCACCCTAACCACCCTCTGCCTGACACTTCGAAGCAAGTAGCAAGGGGTTCTCATCAGCCCGTCCTTCCACTGTGCAGGACCTCTTTTTGCCTCCCAGGGACAAAGTGGTTCAGATTGCATAGACCTAGACCCAGAATCAAGTTTTTAGCATATACAGATACCTACATGCATTTAATAAAGAATCCAACTACAGACATTCTCAATACATAGGAACTTGGGTTAGCAAAGCAATACAGCTCTAATAATGCCACGTCTGTTCTCTGGGAAGCTGAGACCACAGGGCCTTCATCCTCTGCAGCAGCAGGAGTCACAGGCACGCACAGAACTGCTTTAGGCCCAGCCCCACTTGCCTTCTCATGGAACAGAACTCTTGAAGAGATCTCTGCATCAGTAAGTGGAGGCAAGCCACATTTGTGCCAGGCTTGCCTTTGTTCTGATTGATAGAGCACACTGTTATCCTCAGTTCTGAACATATGAGATTACCACTGGATGCTTCCTACTCTCTTTAGTTAACCGTAATTCTGATTTTTCATGGAGTTTGAATCATGGACCAACTTCTCCATTATCAGATCAACTAAAGAAACCATTGTTGTAAAGCCCAGTGTACTGACCTACATGCCCCTCCAGCCCTTCAATTCAGATGCCTTTACAGCAAAAGGAAAGTGGGCAAGGTAGAGCCGGTTGCTGTGGCTTTGGCCACCACAGTGTTGCCAATGCCTCCTGCTGGTCAGAAGGAAGTACACATGACTGGTAGGAAGAGTAACCCTGAAGGTCTTGGGAGTTTTTTTAAATGCCCAGAGCTGGAGTGGTCTTGAACACAAAGACCTGCAGGTGGGAGTTCCTGGCAGCATGCCCTTGCTACCCATTAAGGGCCTGACCATTTGCTGGCTTTATGATCCAGAGGTGCTGGACATCACTGGATAGGTTCCTGCAAGGTGTTTTAAGGTTCTAAATTTATATTCCCAACCTGGGAAATGAGAACTCTCTATCTACTTTTGCCTAAGCGTCGTGTCCTTTGAATTAAAATCTCTAGAAAAGGTGCCTTTGAAACAATGGAAAACTTGCTTATGGAGCTGTACTAAATATTAAAGCCCTAGTATTTCCAAGGCTGACTTCTCTGAGAGCAGTGGATAAGCAGGGCAGGGGAGAGACAAAGATGGCAAACCGGATGTGCCATCCATGACCCCACTTACCTCTTGGAAACTCCACCAGGAGACTCACAGGCAGGGCAGGAGTTTTAACCAAGAATCAGTAGTCAGCTTCTCCATTCCCCTTACAAGAGTGGGAAAGTCTGAGGGTGAATATGGTGGCCTTCAGCCTTCTAGGAAAGAGGGCTTTCTTTGTAACCCAGAGGCCTGAAACCATTATGTTTTTCTTGCCTTTTCTGTCCCCATAGGGGTGACCTCACATTTGTCTCAGATTGGGGTTTTTGACTACTTGGCAAGTTTTGCAGCCTATTTTTGTATCCTTTCTGTTTGAGGAGGGAAGTTATTTGGCCCCAAACCTCGAGGAATTGGAAAGAATGGTGAGTGATTGCTTCCCTTCAGAGAACATCTGAAAGTACGTTCAGATTTACATACCCATATATACAGTACACATACCTGTTTGATACTTCTAAAAACATACACCTGATGCACACATGAGCTGCATGTGGATGCCCTAGGGGGAAAGTAGTCTGTGTGAGAAGATATGACAGAACACTGGGCAGCTGGAGCAGCAGAAGCCATCTCCTGTCTAAAAAAGCGCCCGTGTCTTACCTGAGCCCAGATGCCTGCTGGCTTCACTTTTAAAGTCCTGCTGCTCTAGCTGAATGGTAGACCCTATAAAAGGTCTGAACGATTTACATGAACAGAAAACTTAAGTTACTTGGTGAACACTATTCTGGACACATAGCAGCCTGGTCGCAGGCACTGGGCAGTCTTCCGGATGGGAAGCTGCAGTATCACTGGCCCCAACACACCTTTCTCAGAGCTGGTAATGGCAAGACAGCCCAGGTAAGAAATATAACAGACTACACGGACCTTGTTTCTTTCTTGGGTTTGGGATGGGGGAGGGAAAATGTGGCTTGGACCTTACATGTGATAGATAATGATGCGGGAGGTGGTTGCGGAGCAGGCACTTCAGGGAAGAGCTTTGGGTGCCAAGCATGAGTGCACTGACAGCAGAGTAGGGTTTGAGTTGGCAGCTACCAGGTCTATGGCTACTATGTGGCAGATCACAGTGGCCTTTTACAGTTGGAGGTCAAGTTGTTCTGTGTGCCTGCAGTAGAAGGCTGGCTGTGGGCTGCAGAAGTGGGATGGAATGTGCTTCTAACAAAGCTTGCTTTGTAAGATGAGTCTTGCCCCATCCTCTACACTCACTTGGACTTACCAGAGGCAGTTTTGTTGCCTGTATTATGGGGTTTTTTTTTTCCTGCTTATATAAGATTGTAAGTTCAGTTCTAAACCAGACCCCATTCTAACAGAAATCTGAACTTGTACATAGGCTTTGCATATTATTTGTAACTTTTTGATCAGAGATGTTTCTTTTGGGAGTTGCGTGTGTTAGTTTGGGGAGTCCTTTCCCTGAATGGCTTGTCAGCACTTTGAGGTGTCGTAGTGACTGTTCTTGTTCTTTTCTCTTGGTTGAGTGACAGCAGTTGAGGTGGGCAATACCTTAGCCTGAGGCACCCTTCCCTCTGGAAGCAGAGTTGGGTGAGACCAGGTAAACTTCTGCTCTGTCCTCCAGTCTGTCCCCAGCTGGCCTTGGGTGTGGCCTACCAGGAACTTAGCAGCACTCTCCAGGCCCAGATGGCTCTCAGAGAGTTGACTTATTCTGTCAGTAGCTATGCCACACCTGTATCCCTTTCTCCCTGCTGGCCCTAGTTCACCTGTCACAGAGCTGCCTTGTGTGGAGAGTGGGAGACAGTCTTTCTGGTTAGTCTCTTGTGTTGTCCCTGTCTTGAGCCTTTGCCTTTCATCTTCCTTGTCTCTGTATGGACCAAAACCCTCAGATTGGAGCAACTCAGCCAGTTTCACTATCACAGCCCAAGTGCATAAAAGAGCTTCCTGGGAAACCAGCCAAGAAGAAAACAAAACTTAGAATTTATATCTTTCTTAAAGTCCCCACCCTTTCTTCTGTTCCCCAGGGAAGAATGTTGGTTCCATCCACTTTTGCAGATGAATTTGTATTGCATTCACTCGCAAGGTTCTATTGTCTGTAGGAGTCTTCTAGATATATGAAGGTCTTTGACTAGGTCATCCTGGCCAAGGTTTGGCAGGTTGTCTGGTTTTCCTTACTCAAGACTCTTCAGCATCCCTGACTTACCTTCTTCTTTTTCTCAAGAGCTCACTGCTCATCACCATCCTGCCCAGACCTTTAGGGAGTGATTTTCATGTGTTCTAGCACTGAAGCCCACAGGTCTTCTCTAAGCATAGGCATTTCTGAGACTTCAACCTGAATTACCCACACTGCAGTATGCTTTGCCCTAGTTCAGTGAAGCAGGTAAATGACTGAGCTGTATACTCCAGGGCTAATGAGGTTGTTGGGAGTCTTCAGTGGAATGTCTGAGTTTGGTATTGACTGAGTAATGTGCCACAACTGATAATATACTGCTTGCTGTTTCGACTGCTCCCTGGTTTATTAGCTAGACATCCAAATTGAACTGCGTCCTAAGAATCCATTTTTGCAGGACTTTGTGTTCCTAGTGCCTGGCCACTAAGGGTGGCTGCATGGAGTGACAAGCCCAGGCGCACTCAGAGTCCAGAACCTGCACTTGGTTATGAAGCTCACAGGGTGTATGGTGTTAGGACTGAGAACCTGCTTTGGGGTCTGAATGCTTGTCAACACTAGGCAGCAATCTTAGGGTCTTAGCCCTCCAGACTTGAAAAACAATGCATGTTTTTCTAGGTCAGGGTCTAGCAGTACTCTGAAGTCTGAGCAATGGTGGGAATCCAGAAGTTGGTAATGAGACTGGTTGCCAAAGGACAGAAGTAGGTACCTGCTTCCTTTTTCAGACTTGTGGTTTGCAGGACAGAATGGATTCAGTGTAGTTACTACTGGAAAGTCTCTGCCCTCCTTGAGCTAGACATTGCTCCTACTCTGGCAGGATCCAGGCAGAGCAGAGGGAGAACAGCTATTTGGCAGGGACTTTGCTGTGTGGTGTCTTCCTGCTGTTTACAAGGGTGGACAGATGGCAAGTCAGAACACCTGAGAGGGACCTGATAGCAGTGCCTCTTTTGTCACGAGATTGGTGTACTGTGCATATAGATGGGCCCCTGTGTGTTAATAGCTTTTCTTGTCAATGCCTTTTGACATGTATTCCCTTCTATAGAAGGTGGGTCATTTCAGAATTACTCTGTACAACTGGAGTTGAAGGTAAAATGTCTATGATAAAGCCTGCTCAGACACTGAATATAGAAAGAATTGCCAGGGCTTGATCCTTCTCAAACAAGTTCCAGAAGCAACACTGTACATCTGGCTATTAGAATGTGGTCGCTTTTAACCTGCAGTTTGTGCTTAGAAAGGTCTTGTTCTTGTAGCTTCTTTGGCTCAGGGTCAGGGCCCCATGTGATGCAGTTGGCTGCAGTGAGAGCCAGCACCCATTCCTCAGCAGGGTTCCAGCATGACTTGGGTTGTTCCTTTAGAAATTGGGTGGGCCAAGGGCAGCAGTGGCCACTAGGGCAGTGATCTCTCTCCCAAGCTTCTAAGTAGCCTGCTTTGTTCAGCTTTGCCAGGAAGGTCAGACTGTGTCATAATGTTATTAAACAGAGTAAACGGGCCAACGTTTCTCTGGCCCCTGCTGACTATTGTTCTTTGAGTTGTCTTGACATAGCCCTTGGGGAGTTGGGAAGGCTGCCAAGGGCCTGCAGAGTCCTTGCTGATAATGTTCTGGTTCCTAGTCCTCCAAACCTGTTTTGATCTCAGTATGGATGGCTTTGTTCTTAGGGACCAGAGTGCTGAGCAGTGTGATGGAGAATGCTTAAACAGTCTGCCTTTGATGTGCTTCCTGTCTCCCAGGAACAGCTGAAGTGACTATCCTGGTGCTAAGTGAGGGGCAGCTGGCCTGTTTAATGGCAGGTCACCTGCTACTGTGACCAGCTATGAGAGCAAATCAAGAAATAGCTTATTCTGTCACATGGGCCTTTGTGGAGTGGGGATTTTCTATGTGGCCCTTGCTGGCCTGAAACTCACTTTGTAGACCAGGCTGGCCTCAAACTTGAACACTCTTCCTGCCTCTGCCTCCCAAGCACTAAGGTACAGGTAGGCATGGGCCACACCTGGCTAGAGTGTGTGAATGAATCCTTTACCCAGGAAACACCTGAATAGAAACTGGCCTTGCCTTTGGTGTGGGCTATGTGGTGGGAGGTGTGGAGGTGACCTCCTGGGGCTGAGTCTCTGGGCCTCCTACGGTCCCCCATGGGGATGCTGCTATTTCTAAGATGCAAATTGCACTTTTCTTAGATTTTGTATCTGCAAATTTGGGTAAGGGATGGGATGAGGAACAAAACTGCTTATGTAGTTTGAATGGGCCTCAGTGGTACTTCCAATCTTTTGACTGTTCCTAAATAAAACTGTACAGACATTTCTTATCTGCTGACTGTGTGTGTGTGTGTGTGTGGTGGTGGTGGGGGGGGAGTAATAAAAAGCTAAAAACCCCTTTATTTATTTATCTATTTATTTATACAAGTCTGACTTTAAAATTGGTAAATATTGGGAAAACATTCCAATTCACTTGTCTTCTGCCTTGCTGAGTTCACTGTATGGCTTCCATGTGAAACAACTGTGGAGTTTTAAAATTGTGCTGAGTCAACCAAGTCTGATCTTAAAGCCATAGGACATGGGCAAGTTTTCTTGTGTTCCTTTCATTTTCTAGTGAGAATTGTCAGTAAGATTTGCTGTTTGGTAAGGAGAGTTTGTCACTATTCAGGAAGACCCAGGAGCCTTCTAGAGGACCAGGATTAAACCCACACTTCTAAGATGTAAAGCAACTGAATTTTGTTGGGATGACCAAACTGGCCCATCATATCACATAAGGAAAAGGGGCTCCCAAAATAAACCAACCTGGGAAAGAACAAGGCTATCAGTTAAAGAGCATCAGAGGCTGCCGTTTCTCAAGGCCAGCTCGGGTCCTAAAGGAGTTGCTTTATGTTGGATCTAAAGGCAGGTCACTGGGCTGACGAAACTAGTGTAATATCATGGAGCGATCTCTTGAGTTCTTGGTGGGGAGATCCAGAACACACTGGCTGGAGATGGCAGCAGCAGCCAGCTAGGAGCGCACGATAAGAAACAGGCTGGCGCATGGGTATACATCCTTTGGGGAAGCCTCTAAGGACCAGGTCCATTTCATTAAAATGCAAGGCAGGTCTGGGCTTGTTTTGGTCACTAAGTTAGTTTGGTAAGGTAACCAACCTCACACTCACTCCCCACCCTTCAATACATCTGATGTGGTCAGAGATAACAGAAAAGCTGAATGACAAGTGGCTGTCTAGTCCCAGTCCTCAGCTGAAGTTCAGAGTGAGTCTGCTCAGAAGTGACACACATGACCCTGCCAATCTAAGGGCACGGCTACCTGTAAATGAGTTTTCTTTGTAAAGGTCACAAACTGTTTCTGCCTCCTAACCCCAGGGTTTTCAGTGCTGTGGCAGAGACAGAATGCCCCTGAAGCTGTAAGGCAATGATCTCTTGGTAAGTGCTCCTTAGTGATCCCTTTTTACTCGCCACTGTCCTGCTAGCCAAACACAAGAACACTACTCTTGGCTTGTATTCCTGGTACCACTTTCTTTCCAACCCCACTCATTTGATTTCCTCTGCCCAAGCCAGTGGTTTTCAACCTGACCACTCATTTTCATGCCCCAAGGAGCTTGTGAATACCCATCCAAGCCCAGTGTCAGTATTTCTCAGATGTACCCAAGCATGTGTTTAAGCACTGCATGGATTGGATGGAAGGCAGTTACCCAAGCTGTCACATGGAGGAACACTGCCGGCATCAGGCAAGACAGCCACAAGGTACCCAGACATTAAGACCCAGGTCATTTCTCCCTCACCAACATTTGTCCCCTTTGCTGGGTTTTCTTGGTCAGTTAACAGAAGTCAGGAGCACCTGAAGGATTCAGGAAATGAAACTGGCCCTTACATCCAAACCTGAGTGGAAAGGAATGCGCTAAGGTGTCAAGACAAAGTGAACCACGGCTTGAGCCTCTCCCGGAAGTCTTGCTCAGGAAATGCAGGTATGGATTGATAATTAAAGTGCTCAGCACCAAGCACAACTGTCACACATCAACACTGAGGACCAGCAGACGTGGCTCCTACCTTCTCCTGGGCCACAGACTCAGAGCTTCTGATATATACCACCACTGTTTCCTGTGTGTGGCAAGATCCCTCCTGTCTGTGATAGCATAGGAAAACTTTACAGTACCTCATGTTGTGGGACCCCTGCTCCTGCAATCATAAAATTATTCTGTTGCTAATTTTGCAATTGTTAGCATAATGTATCTGATATGCAACCCCAAAGGGGCTGTGATCCACTGGTTGAGAACTACTGCTTAGATGACCGCTACAGACCAGCCAGCACTCAAGTACTTAGTGCTATGCGACCTGAACCAGCAGCCAGCTCAGCACAGTTCACTGGGTCGTAGTGTTGGTCTTACTCCAGCAGTGTGCCTAGGGTGAGACAGGCCATCCCCAGCATGTTGTGGGCACAGAGACTGGCAGTTAGAGGACCAAGTAGAGTAACAACTGGCAGCACATACCCAAACACTACTTTTTTGAAATAGGTTTCCATGCAATAGACTGAACTTGTTCCTAGGTGGGGTGAGCTTCCACTGTACTATTAGAAGATGAGTGACAGAGGTGACCTCCCATTTCAGAGCTGGGGGGAAGAGCTCCAGGATGCCATACCACACTTGCTTCTAGTCTCAATCACCATGCTTTCCTGAGACCCCAAGAAACAAACGAGTTAAAAGAAAAAGGACATGAGGATGATTTATTTGGCAGTCAGATCTTAAGAGGGCAGCAGAACTAGCAAATGGCCAACCCTGAGCCCAAATGTGGGCAGTGGGTTTGCGTGTGCTGAATGCTGGCTATGCTGAGGCACCTTTGCGCCCACGGGCCTGAAGCCCAGCCTCTGTTCTCAGAGGTGAGGCTGCCTTCCCAACCTTCCCATCTCCTTGGCATCTTTTTTACCGGCTACACAGAAGCTGCACCTAGCAGTGGCTTCATTCGGTACCTACTGCCTATTCTCCATTTCATTCCCAAGGGAAAGCATACTGAGTCTTCCTTGCCATAAAACAAAGAAGCTCACCAAGGTAGACATTGCTCTTCTCTCTTCCTGCACCCCCAATACAACCACCCCATAGAGCAGCTGTTCCCAAAGGCTTTATGCTGTGGCTTCCCTTCCAGGGTGAGAGGAAGGAGTGAATAACTTAGTTACAATACCACTGAGAAGAAAAAATAATACTGCTATTTTTATCATGATCCCCTGTATCTTTCAGGCTGGGTGGCATCCCTAGCCATGGGCAGTGTGCCCTTGTGCTGTGTCTTCCTCCTTGGGCAGGGCAGAGCCTTCTCCTTAGGCCCTGCATTCTTCTGTCCTGGCTCCAGGGCCAAACTGCAGGGCATCTACTCTTTCACCCTGACCAACTGTGGATTTAAAGCTACAGGACAATGTAAACTTTGTTTCCCTAGCCCAGCAAGGCTCTTCCTCCTCCTCCACTCTCAGGAATGTAAGCAGCTCCTTGGAGCCTCCTATGCCACCAACTGAGGCAACTTCTCTCTCTCCAAGGGGCTTCGGCCCTGGTCCTGGCCCAAGATGGAAGGACCCACCTGCACATTCAGGGCCAGATATGTGTGCTTAATTCGAGACACAGTACAGTTTTTTGCCTTCACCCAGAGTTGGGCAATGGAGGCCCAAAACAATACATCTCATTAATGGCTTGGTTTTGTCTAGCCTTCACCGCTGGAATCCAGGATCCAGGCTTCGAGACTAGGTAGGCTTTACAGTGGGCCGCTCCCAGAGAACCTAGTTCATGGCATTCCACAAGGTGGGCAGCACCTGCTGCTCTCCAACAAGGTGGGGACACGACTAGAGGCGGTTGTCTCCATTGACCCGAGTCCTTCTTGGGGCCCTGAACAGAAGTGAAATGTCCTTACTGGCCTTGTAGCCAGATAGTACAACCCAAAGACACGGTTATTGCTTTTCCGCATAGGAAAAAGCTGCCAAAGGATTGACCTAACCCAGAGTGCTGTTCTTTCTGGCTCCAGCATCTTTCCTCCAATTCCCACACTGACCAACTTCCCTTTCACCTCCCTCACCTTCGTTCCCGACTGTCAAAATGGTCTGCGAGATGCTCCTGGGAGATGCGGAAGTCTTCAAATGGCTGCTGGTATCGGGCTTCGAAGGAGCCTTCCCTGGCCCGGACATGAAACAGTTGGCTGGAGGCATCTGAGGCCCGTTCCCGCAGGGATGTACCACCGAAGGGACTGAGGTCACCGTTCTCCTGCTCAGCAAGGGGAAGTGTGCAGAAGCTGAGGTCTCTTCTGCACCTCAGGGGAGGGGGTCTGGGCTCTCTGCTCACTCTGCCGCAGAGTGGTCTGCTGCTTGGACCAGCCCACTCTGCTGAGGTTACCTTAGCAGGGAAAACTTCAATCTTGATGAGCAGGGAGGCCAACTCCAGGTCTTCACTGTAGTTGTTCTTCAAAGGCACTGCTCTGTATCCTAGGAAAAAAGCCTGGCTCTCAGCCTCACAAGTGTCAAGCAAGTGGGTCAGTTCCACCCTGACAGCAAGACCAAAGAACATCCTGTCAAGGAAGATTCCTCACCTGTCTTCAGGCCCTTTACTGGGAAAGTTGCCTGAGCCAAGAAGTTCTGGTCACTAAACATGTCTTCCTCATACACCACAAAGCGTAGAAAGGCAAATTGAGGGTTACTGATCTGGAAGTGGAAGGACTTAGCTGGCCACACAGGGTTCAGTCCATTGTCCACTGTGGAAGCAAGGGCAAAAGCTCAGGTCACATCAAAAGACTGGGGTGACTGGTAGAGAGGGGTCTCTATCACTCCAGGAGAATGACTGGTAATGGGGGAAGGGCTGACTGACCTACAAACTCTGTCTTTTGCTTGGTGCTGTCGTACTCTGCTCCAGCCACCTCAATCTCCACAAAAGGACACACGATACCTCGGCCATTCTTCGGGAGATGCCTGGCTCCCAGCACCTGTGAGGCAGACAGGAAAAAATGGGGTAATGACTGTCTTCCACCTCCCAACATTCTCACAGCAGAGGCTTGGGGAGCAAATGTGCCATGGAGGCAGTATGCCCCCTGCTGGGCCATGAAGGTGCTGCCCATTAGGCCCCTCACTGTTCTAATCCAGAGCAAGCTGTTGGCTGTAAAAAGTTGAGCTTTAGCCAAGTACTATGTGCATTTTACAGTCCATTTCATGTTAAAACCATGTCTGCTCCAACGTGGGAACCTTTTAAATTATTTCTCATTAGGGGAAAAAGTCTAGGAAGTAGCTGTCATGTCCACCTATACTTCTAGGTGTGTCCAGCTGGCCACAGGCTGTCCTTATTCTTTCCAGACTGTTCAGGCCACCCCT